CTAGCATGGATTCAAATTGAATTTAGTTTGCCATTGTGCAGTTAAAAACCAACTTTGGAATACATGTGCTCATTGCCATAGATAATAATATGCTCCTATCTCATATGTTGTGATAGGAGTCCTGACCCTTAATAGATTATATGTGTGCCTCTGCTTAATAATGACTAGATGTTTTATAGTTCTGGTATATTGTTCGTTTGGTTTAATTCTGCCGAAAACTTGTTAGGTGTTAGGTATCCGCATAGGCTGTATTTGCGAGGGTGCCACTGTTTCGATGTTGAATACTTTAAACTTTCTATTCTTTAAAAATGCATACTGAGAAACGTATTTCATGGTCTAATTTTCTTGTTAAATACCAAAAAAAAGTAATGCGTATCCCAATTGTTCTCTATGATATGACAATCTATTAACCGGGTGGATCTTTGTTATGCGCATGGTTCATATGAAATAATTTGACTTAGCCCCGCCCTTTTGAGAGTTGTGATGTGAAAAAAAAAAAAAAGAAATCTCACAGAAACGGCAGGTGAACCTCGACACGCCACGGATTCAGAAAACAAAATTGACAAAGAAATTGGTCCGTGCAGAGCCTTGATGTGACCATGTTTCCGCTAATGTTATACGTAATGGGGCAGAGCACAGAGCGATACGGTAGGACTGAATACAAATATAATGCATATGACAAACAGTTGCAAAAGAGTTCTGAGCAAGATCTTTCATTAGCAATATACACTGTGATCTCTCTGCTCTCTCCAAACACACGTGCAGGTAATTTGGTATCTTCAGGTAAAATCTTAATTATTCGGTCTTAGATTGTCAAAAAAAAAAAAAAATTGCAATATAAGAGCTCCAAGTATTTAAATAATTCTAACTTGTTCTCACTAGCCATTGGCACCATCACACACATATTTATTTTTAGCTTTTTTAAAGAAGCGAGCCGACTACTAGACAGCTCCTGCAAAGCCAAATCTAAAATATTTTATGATTAGAAGAAGATGCATGTACGAAGCAGTCTGGATTTTCTGTTTCAATGCACTTTCTGACGTTAGGAGTAGATTTTTCTTCTTGATTTATATGAAAAAGAACTGTGTACTCCAGTAGAATATGGTCAAATTGCAGCTCAGTTGGAAAGAGCTTTTGTGCCTGAACTTGAGATATTTTAAGCCTGACCATTTCTGTGGTCATAACCTGCGTGCCCTGGCCTCACACCTGGGCCGTTCCTGTAATGAATCCTGTAGATTTCGTTGGGTTGCCATCCGTCTACTTCTATATGCTGCTTCCGCCGGCCACGTCCCCTCCCTTGTCTCTCGACTCCGCGTATACATATCATATATCATCAACTCACCCCCATTATCCAATCTAAAAAAATCCCCACTATCCCATCCCTTCTCCTCCCATATAAAACATCAATCAATTCTATCCTTCCCTTATCTCCCCCAACTACTATCTCCACTTATTTATATCTTCATCATTATTGTCAGTTCAATTAATATCTCACTTCCATCCCATACTTCAATTAATAATAAACAATAATTACCACCAAAATAAAATCCAACACCCATACCCCCCAACCCTTTAAAAAAACCACACCCACACAAAAATAAAAAACCTAATAATAATAATTCTCTCCTAAAAATTTCTCTCTTTCATTGTGTTATCAACCTCTTCTATATTCACTTCTTTCTCTCACACAACAAACACATCTCCATCCTCTCTCTACCTATCTAGCTCTTATATTATACAATTAACTAGTTATACTCTTCTATTATCCCATCCCCCCCCTCAATTTCATATCTTCCTAACCCATCACGTATTATTCCCTCACTCGCTCTCGCCATCCAGAAGATATTCCAAATCCCCAAAACTCCACCTAGTAGATATATAGTATATATAAATCTCACACCATTATTTGAGTGTCATCACCAGATACTCCAACTTTTATAGATAGATATAGATAGAGTCCCCATCCCTATCCCACAAAACTATACTATTTTACAACACTTTTATCACTCCTTACCTCTTCTAATTAACATCTTCTCTCCTTAATTTCTTCAGGTTAATTAATCTTCACCACTGTTAACTAAGACTTTTAGCTATCCTTAGCATAATCCCTCTTCTTCTTACCTCCTTCTCTGTATCATATCACATCTCAGACACTCCATAACTTATTTTCAATCATGACTCTCACTCACACACGCTGCATCTATTATTCTTTTTCATATACATTATACTGTTTGTCATCTTACACATCCCCCCTCCCTTACTACCCACATCATCTCTCCAGAGTATGTCTTTCTCTATAATTTTCAATCTTCATAGTCGCTCGATAGTGACCTACTACACCACACCATTTTACCCCTAACAAACCGAAACCCATATAGTCCCATAGAACACTCACTACCCTAGAATCTATATCCCTATCCTTTATTTTCTCGCATATATCTCTCGATTCCCTAAATATGCATCAATATGCTCTGCACCAGATTGTGTGTATTAGTGATCCACACCCTGTAAATGCAATATCTTCCTAAATGTGTTCAAATCTTCTATACTACTTAACAAACCCCCACCCCACCACACAGAATATCGCACTCGCTCTCACACATCGCGCTCCTATAGTCTTTGTGCCCTTAAACTATTAACTCATCACCCCACAATTTAATTCTATACTATACATCCGTGTTTAAAAAAAAAAAAACAACCCACACCTCCTCACCAACCTCAAAACATCCACACCCCCAACCATCCTATATAAAATTCTCACCCTCTCTACCCTATACACAATCACATCCTCACAATACCTCCCAAAAATTCCCCATAAATACCAAATCAATCACAAAAACAACCCTACCCCCCCTACACTTCACCATATCACATCCCAACCTACACCCAACTCCTTTCCCCATTTACCCCAACCCTCAATCCTCGCGCACAGATATAGATAAGCTTACAAAAATAAAATCATCAACCTCAATCTATACTCTTGATACCATTTTAGTTTTGTATATATTAAGAGAGAGTAAATAAATTTATTCTATGTGTCTGAGAAGCTTCTATATTTGTTTTCTAGATTTAGAGAAATAATACTACTTCTCTCTTACTACTATCTCAATCCCAGAAATCTTATCTCTCGAATCGAACCTTTTATTTCACCTAACCCATACAAACACATCCCATTCCACCCCCCTGGTTCACCCATATATTCTTAATCTCATATATATAGAGATAGACTTCATATTTTCACAACTCTGATAGTATGTAGACTTTCTGCCAGCTGTGGTGAATTCTACCGCTATAGATAACCTTTTTCCCTTACAAACCTGTGTTAAGAAAGATGCTTCCGCGTGCCCACCACCCCCCTAAACACCCTCCATCAAAAACCTCCTCCAACCATTCATTAGTTTGTACTCCTTTTAACACATATAACTCACACCCGATATTATCTGTGACACTCCCACCTCATTTAACACCCACTAAAGAGATACTGGTGTGTTCTATATTAGTAGACAATCTGTCCCTACAACCACACCTCCCAAACAACCACAACTACAACTCTCTCTGTGCTTGTGTATATGTGTAGTTCGGCAAACTATATCATCCTATCTTTGCTGCAATGTTTATACCACCTATCAATATATATACAATTGATATACTTCATATATCGCCGCATCTATGACGATACTAGAGATGCTCTCTCTCTACTAACACCACACCAAATCCCATACAACCCCCTATTAATAACATCCACTCACTCGCGCATATATTATTAACCCACAAATATATATACATGTATTTGATCTGTGTGTTAACTACTAGAGGAGAGATAGAGATGATATAGATCACTGTGTTAACATGTGTATTTTGGTAATTTCATATCTCACTGTGCACTCTACCAAGTTCACAACATATAACCCCAACCCCCCATACTCACACACACAACCCTCACACACATCACTCACACACCTCATCTCCCACCCCCCCACTCCATCCCCCAACCCTCCAATATTAATACATAAACATACCTTCCCCCCCTCACCACTTCTCCTCACAAATACCTCTCAATCTACCCTCTCTCGCACACTCACCCCTGTCACCCCATTCTACCTACCCCATCCCCACCTTCTACCCCCCCCAATAACCCCCATCAACCCCACTCCACCTCACCCCCACCACCCTTACTCTCCTTAAAAATTAAAATCCAATATACATCAATTACCTACACACGTCTCTCTCTCTCACTAGCTCATCGCTCACAATCCACTAAATAAATCCAATATATTTAATTAACAATTTATTACCTACCAACCCTAACAAATATAAAACACCCCAATATCAACTACACAATCAAATCAACAAATTGAGACGCGATGCTCACAGAGAGTCCTCTCACTCTCTCATCCTATATATATATGAGAACAATAATTATAGATATATATATATGTGTAAAAGACACTTCCTGTGTGTCATCTGTGTGTGCCTCTCACTCATCTCTCACGCTCTTAACAACCAAACCAACACCACAACCTCCTTCATAACAACCACAATAAAAAGTAAACCATATATACTTCTCTCCTTGATACTCTATATTATCCTCCATTCACACCAAAAGTGTATCATCTCATAAATATCCGACGTGTAGTACACATAGAGATAGAGAGAGAGAGCTAGCTAATAGAGTACACTCTCTATCTAAAACTCATTCTCTCCTATAGAGTGACTGTATCTCAACTCTCATCTATATCACACCCCCAAATATATACCTAACACTCTTCTACACACACCCCCTACACCCCCATACCTCTACACTCACAGATCACCCCAGTCAGAAAATACAAACATCCACACCATATATATCACACACACACCCCCCAAATCCACCAACTCACTAATCCCCCAACTCCATATCACATAAACACCTTCACAACATATCTCCCAAACAATCTTTAAACATACACAACAATACCCCTTACAACCAAAAAAAATTATAAAAACTCAACTCAAACATCACCCCCACCCCACCCCACCACAAACAAAATCTATCATCAACCCCACCCACCCCAACACCCCAACCCAATCCCAAACACACCATCATCCCCACAATAATCCCCCCTAACCCACTACTTATACCACACCCATTAATATTTTAAAGATAACAACCCCCCCACCCCAACACACAACCCCAACACACCAACAACCCACACACACCCAACCCCCAAACCCACCACACACATCTCTCTCTCACACACACTCTCTCACACTCCATCCTCCAATTACAACAACACCACCACACCACCCCACACACCACCAACCCAAACATCCTTAACTCCTACCACAAGCTATCTCCTAGAGAGTAACGAGATATCCCTCAACTCCATCCACCTCTATATAAATCCATACATACGGTAATACATCTTTCATCCCCTAACCACAAAACAAAAACCCACCCACCAACACCCACCCAACCCACAATACAAAACAAACCCCACCCAACAAAAAAACAAAAAAACACAAACCCAAAAAACACCCCCACCCACCCACCCCCCACCACCCTGTGTTATATATAGTAGTAACTAATACTTTTCTTGTTCCAGTCTCTCTCTCACACGCGACTTTTTTCTCTCAGCTACACTATACCACACAAAGTTAATACAAATACACTAACTAAAACACAACCCCAATCTCCCCCCCCCCCCACTCCCACCCCTCCAATACAAAACGAGATCACAACAACACTATTCCCCCCCCACCCACCCTCCCCACCAGAATCTCTATCTCTCTACTCTCAGAGAGACATTGAAATTGTGAGATAGTGTGATAAGACAGATACTCACCCCCCCACCCACTCCCCCCCCCACCCCCACCACACCCCCTCCCTCACCAATTCCACAAACTGCACAACCCATCTCTCCTCCATCTCTCCCCCCCACCACTAACCCCCCCACCTAATTCCCGCACTCGCGCGCACACTCAATATCTATTTAATATAGAATACATCGCTACTTACTTCATATACTTCACCCCAATTTCATAATATTATGTGTGTGTGTCATGATAGAGACCCCCTTCCCCCTACCTTCCACCCCACTTATATTTTTTTTACGCACCTGTCACCTTCACCCCCTCTCCCCCCCCTCTCGCCGCGCCCCGCCCCTCCTCCCGCGCCCCCGCTTTCCCCGATATTATGTGTGTCTCTACTCGCTTTTACTATAATACTCTCGCCTCAGAAATTTTCTTCTGAGAGTCAATAGATATATATAGAGATAGAGAATGATGAACCCCCCCCGCGCACTCCACTGCCCACCCTGTTTATCCACCCCCTCCCGCCAACTTATATCCCCTCATTTCCCACCCCACCCACCAACCATTCTATATCCAATGTGTACTACAACTTTTTAATTACTATTTTCCAACTCTGCCGCCGTCTCTCCTGCTCGCCTCCTTGTTAGATCCTCACATCATATTCAACCCCCCTTCTTTCGACTATTCATTATTATTGTTATGTCATTCGTATTGTTATTTTCATATAGTGTGTTTTTTATTCAGAATAAGTCATTTTGTTTCTCTTTTAGTTCTGTTTTAATCCTCGCGCTATGGCAGTCTTAGAGATATGCCCTCTCGCACCCCCTCTCATATTCGTTCCCTCTAGTTCTTTGACACTTTTCACTCCCAGTAGATTATGTTTAATGTGCGTCAGGTTGGAGTGAGTATATATATCTATGATATTTCTTTTTGAGTGCACTAAAGATTGAGGGTAGATTGCGACGGGCGTCTACGCACTCTCGCGCTTCTGCGCGATTTAGGCTCAGTTTTGACTGCTATATGTTGTGTGTGTGTGTGGTCACTCTTAACGCGAGTAGGAGATCTATACTGTGGTTCCTCAGCGCCCGCCCCACACGCCCCTTCCGCCGCCCCCCCTCTGCGCCGCTCGCCTTCCGCGCCATGTCTCGTGTGTGATTCTCACACGGCTCTTATAGAGACGTGTATAGTGTTATTTGTGTGTGTGTGTGTGTACCCGCTCTCGCTTATGCTATTCCGCTGTTGTAGTCATGTGCTTGAAAGATAGAGATAGAGAAGTTAGTGTGGTCAGGTTACATGTCTGATGTATGTCGTCAACCATATCTGTATGCTCTGTGCACGCGCCCGTGTAGTAGTCAACTGTCGATCCACGGGTGGTGCGCGCAGCAGCTGCGTCCCGCCTGGCTCTCTCTGTGGTTTGATGATGGGCGTGAACCGGCGTTCCACGTTCGTGAGATAGTCTTGGCCGACAGGAGTAGAGAGTGTGTAGCAGTCCGCCGTCAATCTTAGTCTCATTCGAGCTGTGCTCCTGCCTTGGCAGTTATGCCTGTGAGTGAGTGGAGGGGGAGTACGCTATGTTGTGTGCGCACATGTCGAGATAGAGACCGGAGTCTCCTGGGAGCTTGTCTGCGACACGGCGCTCTCTCGCCAAGCTCTCTCGTGATTGATAAGTCCTCGCACCGAGCAGGGTGAGAGAGAATGCGCTCCAGTGGGACTCCTGGTGGGTCGTGAGTTGTTATATGATTGTGCAATAGATTCACTGTGTCGCTGTGTGTGACGTGCAGATGTGGCCGGAGAGTGTGTGTGTGGTGAGCATAGGATAGAGACTTGACGCCGCGCCGCGGTGCTGTGTGTTTCTAGGCTCTGTCGCGCGCGCGCCCCGCCGTCTCTACCGACGCGACGGGGCATCAAAGCGACTGAAAAATAAGTTCAGATCGTCAGCTAGCTTGTGGTCGTCAGCACAGGGGGGGGCTTTGGGTTTGTAGTTGGTGATCTCCCGTAAGGCCCCTCCAGACAGAAGCAGTATCGTTGTTACCAAACTGCTCCTGTAGTCGTTCTCTGTGCCGGGACTTGGCTGCTTTCAGTTCTTTCCTGAACTGATATTTAGCTGCTTTGTAGCCGCTGCGGTCCCCCTCCCTGAAAGCAGACTCCTTTGCTTTCCTGAGCTGCCGGAGTTTAGCAGTGAACCAGGGTTTGTCGTTGTTATAGATGACCCTGGTCCTTGTTGGAATGATGCTATCCTCGCAGAAGTGAATGTATGACGTCACAAAGTCCGTGTATTCATCCAAACTATCTGTGGCAGCTCTGAAAAGGTCCCAGTCTGTAGATTCCATGCATGCGTGCAGCTCTTCCACAGCTTCATCAGACCACACTTTGGAGCTCCTCACTGCAGGTTTTGAGAGCTTTAGTCTCTGTCTGCAAGCAGGAACCAGATGTATCATGGAGTGATCTGAGAAGCCGAGGGCTGGCTTGGGAACAGCGCGAAAAGCTATGCGCACGGTGGTGTAACAGTGATCCAGAGTGTTCTCCTCTCTGGTCGGGCATTTGATAAACTGTCTGTATTTGGGTAATTCCTGGCTCAAGTTTCCCTTATTAAAATCCCCCAGGATAATAATCAGAGAGTCCGGGTATAAGTGAGCGTACGTTGGAGAGAAAAATGCCGGGGAGAGCCGTGCGCGCTCCTCTCCTCCTAAGACACATGAGCAAGCCTCCGCGCTTTCCCCTTTTACGGGCCCACACTTTTTTGGCTAGAACATGGACTAAATCAGCCGCAGATGCCAAGAAAACAGGCAATAGGTCCATGGGGACGGTGGGTCGGATGTTCATAAGTTCTTCACGGGTGTAGGAACAGCCAGATGCGCAGTTAAAAAGTAAAAACAAAAGAAAAAGAGAGCAGCAAAGAGCCATGTCGACCGTACGAGGCGCCATCTTTGTTCAAAACCTGCTGCTCACCTATTGCTGCTCACCTATTGCTGCTCACCTACTGCACACGACTGGGAGAATCAGAGCTGGCCAAATTGCGTCGCTTCTGCTAATTGTTTTAAATGAGAAAGACATCTCGAAGACCTGGAGTTGGTTATATTCAACAAGTGACACATTCACAAAGTGTATCGATTTATTTAATAGAGCTCTTTACAACATTCAAGGTGATCAAAGTGCTTTACAATAAAATTACATAGAATCTATTAAAACAATAAACCGTTAAAAAGCATTAAAATAGTGTCACCGCAATAATGGGCGTTTAAAGTGTTAAATGCCAGTCTGAATAAATTAGTTCTGAGACTCAATTTAAGGAGTCAGTTAGAACACGAATGTCAGGGGGCAGTTTGTTTGGACCTAGTTGTAGGTTCTTCCTGGAGGGGCAGATTCATCTGCTCCGTGTGGACGATGCCTCAATTAAACAAAATATTTTTTTCTGAAACAACTGAAATTGCCTCTATCAAATCATCATGGGAGCTCGTCCACTGAGTAGAACCAGGAGGACCAGTTGATGCCCGAATATAGGTAAGTTATGCTAATCTTTTGGACCCCATGGCTGTCCCACGTGCTACTGAGCATAAGCTATTGATTTGAATAGGGCGCCATCTTGGATCACGGGGGCTTAGGTATTACCCAACAGATTTTTCACCTGTGTCACACGATACTTTCAGCGGGGTGGCAAGGACTTTGTCTGGGGTGTCAATTTCCACCCCAATACCCGTGTGGCTCCGCCCCACTGCTTTCTGCGACTTTGATCTTCTGAGGATTGGAGCCTTTGATATGACCACATTTCACTGACGTCACATAAAACTGACGGGACGGAATCCACAACTTGTTTATTCATTTTTTTTAACTTCAACAGATAATTAAAATGTACTGCAAATATAAAGAGTCTTGGATGTTTTTACTGATCCTACACAGCAGTCAGAAACATGTTACGTCGTCTTTAAAATGAGGAGAAAGCTTTCTGCATAATTTCTGGGTTTAAGTCCCAAGTGAGACCAGGTTCAAAGACAAAACAGACATGAGTTTGAAGGATGATCAGCCCAGCCCCCCACACAGGCAGGCACCCCCCATGTAGCCCCCCTCCTGGATCTCTCTAAAATACTGTGTTGTGTATCTTCAAACATACCCCAGGGACTTGAGTCAAACCGGTTGTCAGCCAACAACTCATTTCAATTGTCCTGCTACAGTTGTCACCCGGCAACACAGCAAAACCGTGAATGTGATTGCAAATAAATTGTTATGGGTTATTGGTTAAAGTGAACGTAATATCTACTGTTATGAGTGTTTTACTGTGTTTGTGTTGTTCTG